GAAGAAAAATACGTCGTAAACGGATGCCAGGTGAAAAGGAAGCTAATGCTGGATTGACTGCTGAACAGGAAATTTATCGCATCATGAAGGATGTAATTGATAGCTTGATTACAGAAATAACAGGTAGATTTTTTACTAGATTTAGATTCACGGTTTCGATTTCTATTGGATGTGCAAAATATTGTTTCTGGAGATTTCGAAGACGGAATATTGCAAGAAAAATGTTCTGACTTAGCAAAGAGCTATCCAGGTGATATTGATGGACCAGAATTGTACACAGAAGTTAAAGACTGTAGAATGTTGATAAGTAAAAGAACACAGACCAATTTTCCTGAACCAATGGTTGCACCTGATTTGCTAACATTTATAATTTCATATGGTGAAGATGTTTTCCCAAATTTAAGAATTGCATTGCAGATTTTGTTAACAGATGGGGTTTCTATTGCTAGTTGTGAAAGGTCCTTCAGCAAGCTGAAATTAATTCTTACATACTTGAGAACCGCAATGATTCAAGAATGACTTAGTAACTTGACAATATGAAGTATTGAAAAAGACGTACTTAATACCTTAAATTTTGATAGTTTAATTGATGCATTTGCAGCAGCAAAAGCACGAAAGGTTCATATAATGTAACCATGAATACCAGAATGCTACCTGTACAAGATCTAGTTAAGTATATGTACAGTTTTGTAAACTAATAAAATTTGTTATTTGTAAACCGAAGTAGTATTTTATCAATCTGTTTTATAATCCATGTACACCACAAGTGACTGGCTTCTCATATAATACATAAGTTTCAAAACCAGGGATATAACAGAAATTTATTCTGCATGCTTGAAAGATTACTCTAGCTATGTGACTTTGAACAATACATGACATAAATATCAAAATGGTTTACAAATTATGTAAGTACACCTAGTAGCCTATACTTCATTAGTTCCATGTTTACAGTTGTGATATCGTGAGATGTTATATTGTGACTTTACTTTAGGCCTGTAAGGCGGTAATTAATTCTTTATGTTCTTGTCATTAAGTGGGTAATGAGTCACAAAACAAATAATCAAAACACTTCAGAGGTGGGGACGCCAAAAGTGTCTTTGCCACCTGGTGCTGAGAACCCTTTCTACGCCACTGTAAATGTCATCAGTAAACGTAATTATGGTAAATCGTCATTTTCATCGTGTGAAACTATTTAAGAAAGTTTACAATAGTAACAAAGTAAAAAACATTTTCAGCAATGAATAGTAAGTTTGCAACGTAGCTTTTCCTCTGGTACAATACAGAAGCGGTGAAGCATGAAAGTTTCGAGAAGTGGAACAACATTCTTTGACACGTGTTGGACTGTAGTCCATGAGATTACTTATACCCCAGAAGACTATTCTGTTTGATAACCAAACAAAAGTTTCGCTTGAACATTGTTGTTCATAACCTATTAGAAAATATACTCTTTTACACAAACAATATGTCCCATCTTATTTTCCTTAGACGTAATCGCCTTGTACCCATCCATACCCATAGAAGAAGGCATAGATATGATCATCAACTTCACATCTTACTTTATCAACATATGTTTCCAGTGAACATCACATTAGACGCCATCCGCAGAATCCCCATTATGTCATACACAACAGTTATTTTAAAATTTGATGACACTTTGTACAAATAAAACAAAGGAGTAGCAATGGGTAACAGCAGCAGTCACATTTGCTATAATATTCATGCATACACTACAAACCAAAGCCCTTGACACATATAGACAAAAAAATAAGGTTTAATGCCAGAAGTGTGGTACAGATACACTGTACACTACAGCCGTTTTACTATTTCCTAAAAAACTTCCACCTATCAGTCAAGTTCACACTAAAACTACCCAACGCAGAAATAAAATTAACGTTCTTAGACGTAGCCCTAAAAATCGAAGACAGACAAATACGGAGCTCCATGCATAACAAATAATGCAAAAAGCCGATATTTCTCCATTACAAATCACACCACCCAGAACGAGTCAAAAGGGGAACCATAACAGGAGAATTAAAGAGAATAAATCAAACTGCTCCACACCAAATGACATTCAAACAGCACAAAATGACTTTAAAACTCTACTATTACAAAACGGATACTCCAAATATTACATCGACAACGTTTTCAAATCACATAAAAACAAAACACTGCAACAGCAACAGACCCCCCCCCCCAAGAAAACAACAACAACAAACAGACACGAAAACGGCCACAATGAACATTCCTTTCATAAACAACACAATCACAAGCAAGATTCGTAAATTCATTAAACAATCCCAACTGACAATCAACATAACGCAAAAACCATGTAAAACACTGAAAGAAACTATTAGTTTACTTTTTATTCTCACAAACAAAATGTGTCAAAAACAATGATACGCCAGAGAAAACGGAGCAAGACAAATGTGCCACATCAAAAACGTGGTCTACCAAATCATTTGTAATATATGTGGAGACGCATATATATATATATATATATATATGAGAAACCGGAAGACCTTTGCACACGCGCATTTCAGAACACATCAGTGCGTTATATACGTACGATCAACAGAAAACCGCTCCAGCAGAACACTTTATATACAAACACGGAACCCAAGACACAAAAAAAACATTTAAAGTTCTATCGTACAAAAAACAACAAAGATTTTGAAGAAAGAAAATATATGGAAACTGTACTCATTAACGAAAAAACTTCAAAACTTAACAGAGACAATGGGT